CATTTTTTTTTTTTTTTTTTTTTTTTTTTTTTTTTTTTTTTTTTTTTTTTTTTTTTTTGGTACCAGGGATTGAACTCGGGTCCTTGCACTTGCAAGGCAGGCCACTGAGCCGCTGAGCTAAATCCCTGGCCCTATATTTCATTTTTAATATATTAATTTTGTAGGGTCACCTAAAAGTCTTCTCAAAAGTAACCCTGTCAAATGTGAAAAAATGTGCTATAGACAAACAAAATTGTTACTTGAAATTGAAAAAATAAGAAAAAATAGCACACTCCATTTAAGGATAAAATACTGAGTAAGAGACAGGGCTCAAACATGAGAAATTCTGCTAAAGGACCTGAAGCTGGTAAACTTTTGCCCTTGTTTGGCATTGGTCACATGTTCCCAAAAGTTGTACAGCCACATGGTGGAAACCAAGCAGCCTTAGTCACTGGGTGATTTTTAATTACTTACCCAAGTAGAAAAGCACATTTTTGGGGCATGATGGACTGAAATGTAAGAGCATACAGTACAAACTGTACACTAATAAAATTTTGTCTTGTGTGTGGGTTGGAGCCATGAATTCTCATGGCAAGAACAAGCTATAATCACATTCTTGGGTTTTGGATTTTTCCTCTTTTTTAATATTTGAAGGATAATTGGTGTTGCAGGTTTAATCTTAAAAATTTGGATTCTAGAACAAATTCTAACAATAATTCCATCAAAATCTGAATAAACCTTTGGCAAACAGAAGGCCATTTTCTTTTTCTTTGCTAAGTTTTATTTTATATTTCAGGATATGGTCTATTTTGGTGAATGTTCCATGGGATTGCAAAGAATACGTATTTTATAGTTGTGTGCACTGTTTTATATAGGTTTATTCTCTCTTTCCCTCGCTGTCTTTTTATTTTTTAGTACTGGGGATTGAACTAGGGGCTTTTGCACTGAGCTGCATCTCCAGCCCTTTCTTAAGTTAAAATTTTTTTTTTATTTTTACACGTTTGCAGTACAGAATGGTTGCATTCGTCGCGGGGAGTTTGTATATGTACCTAACACAGTTTAACTCTTTTCTTTTTTTGTCCCCTCTATCCCCACCCCTGCCAACTCTTCTCCCCTTGACCATTTGCAAAATCTCGAATTTCTACTTTTTCTTCAACTCTGCTAGATCCCTTTTCCTTTCCTCCCTCCTCAACCCCTCCATCCCTTGTTCCCCTTCCCACGTGAAAAGATCTCCGTACGTCCTCATCTCCCTCTCTGCTCAGAAGGCCGTTTCCTGAACGACTCCTCGTTCCATCCCCCTTTGAAATAGATTTCTGCCTAAGACAGTGGCAAAAATACATAAATGAATAAAAGCAACCCACAAAATCTCACAAAACAAGACCGCTTCAAGCACAAAAATGATGCGTGTATCTTGCATCCTGCATGGCAAACAATCCCCTAAAAGCGTTCGGGTTAGTTTCTATACAGAGAGTAGCTTTCCTGTCCACACCATAGAGCTTAGCTATGGCTTTTATTAGTGCACTCCCGTTCCTTTCCTTCCCTGCTCCCCTTCCTTACCCCTTCCGTTTTTCCTTTTCCGTCTTCTTCCCCTTCCCCACTGTCCTCGTTTCACTTTCAGGCCTTTTTGCCTCCTTAGACTGAGAAATATGTTGCACTTGTCTTTCTGAATCTGACTTATTTCATTTAGCGCAATGAACTCCGTTTCCATCCACTTTCCCGCAAGTGGCATGACTGCGTCCTTCATCTGTTAGGCGCATCTGGGCTGACTTCATAACGTGGTGCTTGTACATAAAGCCACAGCCAACACAGGAACGCGGGCACCTCCCTGCTGTGCTGCCTTTACTTCCTTCCGGTGTGTACTCAGGTAATACCACACAGCTGGGTCCCATGGTGTCCTAGTGTTAGTCTTTCCATCAACCTCAGTACTGTTTTCCATAGTGGTTTCACTAATTTACATTGTCACCAGCAGCGTGTAAAGGTTCCTTTGCCCCAGGTCCTTGTCAGCATTTGTTATTTTCTGTTTTATTGATGAGGCCGTTCTGACTGTGGTGAAACAGAATCTCAGCATAGTTTTGATTTGTATTTCCCCGATGGCTAAAGATGTTAGGCATTTCTAAATAAGGTTATTGGCTCTTTGCACTTCTTTGGGGATATATCTATTCAGCCTATTTAGAAATTAGTTCTTTGAGGATCAAAGAATTGTTCTATCCCAGGTGCAAAGTATAATATTTTCCATATGAAATTTTTAAACAAAAGTTTATTCAATGTAGTTGCTCAGAACTTGGGAAGGTTAGCTAAAATGTCCAGGTAATTTTAAAATAAAATTTAGTGATAAAGATAACCTCCCACAAAACTGTAGAAACAATTTTGGAAGAATTCTTCATAATTTGCAGCCTCAAATTGAAAAGCTCATTTAAATCGTCATGGTTGGTGCATAGAAACGAAAGCAGTATGGAGACAGTGGACCTCTCAAGCCAGGCTGTGCACTCAGTAAATTGTAGTGCACTCTCCTCAGGTTTTAGGAAGGTGCGTTCCTGAAACTGGAACTTGTCAAGCCTCAAATATTGTTAGTTAATAAGTCCTACGTATTTATCGAGAAACTACTTTATACCATGTACTACTTGGTGTTCTGGGATGCAGGAGTAAATAAGATAGACCAAATTCTGAACCTCATGCAATGTCTAGTTCAATGTTCAAATAATTTTTCTAGCTTTTTGTTACAGACATTTGCAAATGTACACAAATGTTGAGAGAATAATTTAAGGAAACTGATGAGTCCGTTACTCTCAACAAGTATCAGTATATGGACAATTTTATTTTTTTATACCCCTGTTCACTGTCTACTCTATAATAACCAGATAATTTTGAAGCACACCTGAGATGTTTATCATTTTGTTTTTCACAAATATTTTACTTTTTAATTTTTAAAGAACTCCAAAAAAGTTATAAAACCATTATACATCTAAAATTTTAACATCACCCCAGTTGACTACATTGTATTATATATTTAAAATTTGCCAAGAGAGTAAAATGTATGCAACATGAACACACACACACACACACACACACACAAATGGTAACCAGGTAAGGTGTCAAACGTGTTAACTAACTTGTTTGTGATAATTATTTGACTATATATATACATATATTAAATTATATTGTATACTTCTTTTATATAATTTTTTTGTCAGCTATATATGAATAAAGTGGGAAAATTATAAATAACTTATAAAAGTAGAAATATAAGGAATTCTAGCTTGAGATATTTAATACCATCAAAAATTAATCGTTCACATTTCCATGTTTCATCACACAAAACATAAGGCACGTGCATACTTTTATAAATAAGATTGCCATTAGAATCAGTATGTCTATTACATTTATTTTAATTTAACGCTTCCCTTTTTACCAAGTAGAATTGCTCATTGTCTGAATTTTGCTAATTGCAACTCCATGATGTTATTTAATATATGGCCCTTCTTTCCCTTAAATTTCTGATAAATTATTAATGGGATTTAAACTCTTTGTCATATGTTTGATTTTTTTTTCTTCTTTCTGTCAAGACCCACAAATAAGTTAGGTTTGATATGTATATAGTCAGTATCCTTAGAACTCAAAATTTAAACTGATGAAGAAAACATTTTTAAATGATATTTACATCATCATGATATGTGATCTGTCCACAACTGTTAGATTTCCTGGCCACAGTTCCTCACTGATATAAAAACTTCAATCCTAAGAGTATGGAAAGGTAGGGGAAAGGAAAGAAGGGAAAAATATATGAGAAAAGGAAAAAATGGAAACAAAGTCTTTGCAAGTAGGGAAGGGTGGAGGGGGTGAAGGGAGGGCAGGGGAATGGGGAAAAAAATAGAAACCAAGATACATCATGTAAAGGTACAAGATCCCAATGATGAATGTGACTGTATTGTGTACCTAAAAAGTACCAATAAACTTAATGAAAATAAAATTTAAAAAAACACCTTTAATCCTAAACACCTCAGACTATGAGATCAGGGATCTGAGTTGCAGATGACCACAAGCAACGCCGTTTATTGAGGGCCTTTTATTGCTCAAAGTTCGTTAGAAGGAAACCTTAACTTTCAGACGCAGCGGTTCACCCTCGGCAGCCAGGATGTACCCTGGACATAGGGCAGTCCCCACACTGTTCCATTTGTCCTTGAAAGGAGTAAGTGCAGAGTACCCTAGAGAGTTATGTCACCCTACCCTTGGCCCATTTCTAAACCTCACTTGCTCACTTCTCCAAACAAATCTGGTTGAGCATCTATCTTTCTTATAAAATGAGGATATGCAGCAAACAAAGGAAATTTAAATATTTGAAATCAGACTAGTTATTTTAGTATATTATAAATAAAGTGATCTTCAGCATCATGACTGCATGAACTTTAAACAATTTGTATAAGATTCTCATCCTATTGGCCTCAGCTCCATTCCTGCTTAACTTTAAACAGTCTTTCTAAGATTCTCATCACAGAAATGGGTCTTTCATAAAACATCGAAACACTTTGAAAATTTATTTTATATATTCACACAGAGAAATATATATGTGTATATAATATATATATATATATATATATATAAAATTTGATTGAGGTAATCACTTGACAAAATATACATATATTAAATCATATAATATGCATTAAATCTATACTTCTTTGTTAACTATACATCAGTGGAGTTGGGAAATTGAAAAATAACTCATAATAATAGAAATATAAAGAATTCTAGTGTGAGATATTTAATGCCATCAAATATATTTCCCTACTGGAAAACATTGGCTTTCCAAAAGGCATTAGTTTTAAAGTTTTTCATTTTTGCAGTCTTAGTATAGCTTGTCTAGCACTGTGGGAGGCTGAGGCAGGAGGATCTCAAGTGTGAGTCCAGCCTGGGCAACTTAGTGACTTATCAAGACCCCATCTCAAAATAGAGATAATATGTAAAAGGGCCATGGATGTAGCTCAAATCCCAGTACGCAAAACCCCACTTGAACAATGTAATCTCCCACAACTCCCTCTTAAGGTCCATACAGGGACATGAATTCAGTGAATTTACTTCAGACCCATCTTGGCAACCAGCAGCCGACACAACTCCTCGGGGCAGACACGGTGTCAGCCCACAGTGCAGAGTGGCCCGCAGTCCGTCACCGACATCCATGCAGTTCCTGAGTAGGCAGCGGGCTTGTTTATGCTGAGTGCTTGCTGCTAGACAGCAGCACTAACTCCCTTAGAAGCTCTTCCCATAATGGTCCCTAAGGACGCGCAGCTGTGGAGAGGAAACAGGCTCTTTAATTTGTTAGCCATGCCCAGAAAAGAAGAAAATAAATGACTCCAAGGAGACTGGCAACTGGTCTTTTAAAAGCTAAAAAAAAAAAAAAAAACAAACAACAAAAAAAACCCCCAACTCCTCGCCATCTCTATATGCAGTGTGATTTGTTTGATCTTTATTACCCATCTGATCTTATATAAGATTTGAATCCCGATAAATCTCTTCCTCTGACTTTTCAGTCCATTTTCTTGTAATGATCACATTGCCAAAGGCTCAGACTGATAATGTAAGATTAATTAATGCTGAGTCATTAATGCTGAAAGCCTACTGCTGACAGATCCCATTCGGAAATCTGTAGATGGTCAGGCAAGACTGGAGTTTAGATAGGACATCATTTCCTTAGACAAGGGTCCCAGATTGCCAGAGCGGGAAGGTAGACATTTCCATCCGACTCTCTATACAGCCCTCGCTCAAATTCACTGAAAATAACAAGACACTTTCCCCAACACATGAACCTAAGCTGCACGGTAATTTCTTAGGTTAATAGCTTTACAAGGAAGAAATTCTACTCTATGGTGTTTTGGGTAGTGTGGTGTATGTACTACAGGGGGCAGTCAAATATATAATGAATATTTAAATTAAAATTTATTACCATAAAAAGCACATTGCCCTCAATCCCCCTCAAAATACACCTCCTCACTTCTGAGACATTTATCGACTACTGGCGATACTTTCCTAAGCAGTTCTTTCCTACGGGTCTTTATGAGACAGGATTCGCTACCGTGACTGTCGCTGCTGAGCGCCATCCAACAGAAAGGCCGTCTCACAGAAATGTGACACTGTGTCCTCCTCTGTCTTATTCTCCAGATCTGTCACCATCTGACTCCTGGTTCTTCCCCAAAGTCAAAATGACTGTGAAAGGTGAAAGTTCTGAATCACAACAGCACAACTAAAGACACTCACGAAAGAAGACAACTAAAGCTGCTTCGAAAATGTCAAGAATGATGGTGTGTGTATGTGTGTGAGGCAAAAGGAATATCTTGAGTAGGATTAATGGTAATATCTTTTGCTATAATAATTTTTTAAATTAATACAATAATTTAAAAAATGAGCTTTATCTGCCTCTCTTCTCTCTACCTGTCTATACGGGTGACTTTCAACCTGCAATTTATGTTCGTTACATCTTTTTCTCAATTAAATCTGAAGCTCTGGGCTCAAGATTTTTTGCTCCCCTCTTTGTTCCTCCTTTTCCGCAATGCCATTTTCCAAGATGGGGCCAGAGCTCTACTTGTACTGGAGGGAGGAGCAGGTGCTATGCCTATTTTATTCATCAGCTGTGAGGTCGCGCGCCCCGTGTGGTCCATTAGGGGTTACTGAATAGGCCTGGGGTGCGCAGTGAATCGTACGTGGGCGGCCCCGTGGCTGCAGACTTCAGGACCTGCTTCTGCTGTGCCCTGTGTGGCCAGGTGTGGTCACCAGTCATGCCCTGCAGTCACGGGGCAAGTCGTCTTGGTCCCACGGCAGGAAAGCCTACGTGCCAGCCACAACCTTGTCCACTGCGGGAGTCTTCATGGCCGTCACGATGTTCCACGCACCTTCAGCCCTGACTGTCACAGACCGACGACAGCTCTGGTGTGCAGCAGCAGGACCCGACCCTGCCTAGCTACAGCCTTGTGCCGGAGATCACCCTCTTGGGCATGGGTGAGCAGGGGCTCTCAGGAGCAGCCTGAAGGAGTCCTACAGCAGCACTGTCACTTTGGAATCTAACTTTCATGCCATTTAGCTTTTCAATCATAGTTTCATTCTCTTTAACGTTGTGATATGTTCTGTGAGAATCCTTTAGCTTGATATTCCACCATACTGACTTTTCTACTGAGCTCTCTTTTAAATACATTTTAATTTTTTTTAGCATGGAAATTTTCAAACATATATTAAAACAGGAAAAAAATACTATAATGCAGTGCATGTGTCTATCATTAAACTATTGTAACAGTTATTAACACAAGATCAACTTCGGTTCAATCTATCAGCCCCTACTTAATTGCATTGTAATCATTATAATCTTTTGTTTTTCTTTGTCTTTTTTTTTTTTGAGACAGTGTCTCACTTTGTAGCTCAGGTTTACCCTGAACTCACTGTGTAGGCTGGCCTTGAACTCCCAGGGATGCTACTGCCTCAGCCTCCTGGTGCTAGGATTACATAAATACCACCATGTGTGGCTTGTTTAGTTGTTTTTTATGGGCTAAATGTTCACTGATAGCATTCTGAGTTTATCAGGTATAAATTATTTGGTTATTTAACTATCTGGGCTCCCTTGTACTGTATTCTTAAATGCTTGATGACTCTTGTTTGTGCTTTCAAACTTATGGCTAAAATTTCTGATTAGATGAACTGCCACATGATTGCATAACCCAGGCAGGGGTTGAGGGTTTTGCTGAGCTGCAGGAATATGTTGGCAGAGATGTCCTGTAAGAGTCAGAATCTGCCACTGGACCAAATGCATTAGCATCTCCTAGTAGATCATCCTGCTCCTAGATCTTGCCAAGCGCATAGAGTTGCATCTTTTTTCTCTGACCCAACCCTCTGTCCCCCCAACACACACACCAGTGCCTTCACCATGCAGTCATCCAGCCCGGCCAAGTAGTGTTCCAGGAGCCCACTTTCTCAGACGCTTTTGCTCCTGTAGTCAGTGAATCACAGGGAATTTCCACAGCATCCCTCTCTTTCCCACTCACGTTATTGCCATCGTCTGTGACCATTGCATCCACGTCTATTTGCTGTCTGACTAAGGCATTTCCCATAGAAGCTCCATCTCTGCTGTTCTAATATCGTTCTGGATTAACTTTTTCTTGTGTAGGCATATGGAAGTGATTCAGAATGTGGACTCTGGACTCAGGCTTTCTGGGTTGAATCTTGGCTGTGCTTTTTCCTAAATATGTGTCTGGTGTAACTCTCTTAATCTCTCCTCAATTGCGAGATAGAGATCAAAGTGGGTTCATGGGGTTATTAAGGAGATTAAATGTATGAGCACCCAAAATGCTTCAGATGATGTTTGATTCAGAGTGAATTAGGATTCCAAAGCATGAGTCATTTTATTAAACTTATCAGGCAAAGGAAATCTACATTCAAAAACAAAACCTCTCCTAACAACATAGGAAACAGATTTCATACAATTCTGGGCAAGCACACAGATTTCAGACAACCTTATCAAAAAACGGAGCACAGGATTTTTTGGGTCCTAGCTCTGAGCAGGTCTGTCTTAACATAGCCATCCTTCTGTGTTAGAGCTGGTTTAGTTGGATCTTGTAGTTGTTTATTTTTTATCAGCCCATGCTTACAATCCACAATGATTGCATTCCTCCTGGGGAGGTGGTGCATGTACGTAACGCATCTCATGTTTTCATTCCTTTCCCCTATTCTCCCTCCCCTCCCTCCATCTCTCGGTCCCCTTCCCATTCGCCAATCTGTGTGGAGCACCCAACTTTCTCAAGAGCTTGGACTTAGACGAGAATGTCAAATGTCATGACCTTGATGTTGCTGTGATTCCCAAAACAAGGCTTCTTGGGTGCCGCCTTGAGGCTCGCCACCCGGAATAGCATATTAAATGATCATTAAATGTGGCTTGTTATCATTTGGAGTGGAGAGTGCTGCATGCGTTCTTCCTGGGTCCGGTGCACCCTTTGTTACTCTATGTGACCTCACTCAATTTACTCAGCATCACTCACCCTCATATTTCTCATTAGCAGATGAAGCACCAACGCCTGTCTCCTTAGGTTAATTGGCCTGACAATCAGAAATATGATGGTCCTCATCTTATGATGAGGAGGTCCTGGTAAACCCATTGTTAGTCAAAAACATGGAACGTTGAACACGCACATAATGCCCCAACCCCAGCCTTACCACTTGGTCACACCTACTGCAGAGTGTGGGTCGTTTTCCCTCCTGCTCTTGGGCTCCTGCTGTGCTGTATCATGAGAGAGAATCCTACTGCATTGTGTAGCACCAGAAAAGACCAAAATTCAGAGTTCCAAGTACTTTTTCTACTGCACGTATCTATTACTTTCATACCATCCCCATAAAGTTGAAAATTTGTAAGTCAAACCATTGTAATTAGAGGGCCTTCTGCAGTGTACTTGTCAGAATCTGTTCAGGCTGCTGTAATGAAATATAACAAACTGGGTTGCCTAGGAGCAATAGAAATTTATTTCTTATCATACAAGCTGGGAAGCCCAAGATCAAAGAGCTGACAGGTCTGGTGCCTTCCTGGTTTTCTAACAGCACCTTCCTGTTGCTACTTCCACACAGGGTGGAAGGGGCCAACAGCCTTGCTTAAGCTTCTTTACACAGACGTCAGTGCCAGTGGAGTCCTCCCAACCGCAGCCCTGTGACCAATCACCTTCCCAAACCTCATCTTTTAACGCCGTCATATTGGGAATTAGGTTTCCACATATGAATTTTGAAGGGACATTAACATTCAGACCATAGCATTATTTAACTGCACAACCATGAAGGTTTTAAAATTAAAGCTATATTCTTTATATGAGCGGGTATCCTACGCTCAAATGAGGAAAATAGCTTTTGGAAAACAACCATCCCAGAACTGTCCCGAGACCAGCCATGACTGTGGCATGGAAAGATTGTTCTATCAGGTGAGCACAGCATCACTTAATGCTCAGTGTGAACTCTATTTGTTCAATAGTAATTCCTTGTTCATGATTGTGGGGAACTGGATGTGTAGCGTCTCCATTACTGTCAGACAGGACATTTGTCTGCATTAGCTTAGTAGCTTATCATAGTGGGAACCAGACTGTCATAGTGGAATTGAATTTTAGCTTGGAAGAGTGACCTTTAAATTGGGGCAATCTGGGTCTGTGCAGAAATGTAATAAACAGTAAGAGGAACAGTAGTGAGGTCCTGATTCCTTAGTCTTTAACTCCATGTGGATGCATTTCTCAAAGTACTCTGCCTGCTGGGCTGAGGAAACGTCCCTGTGAAGGCGTCTCTTCTGCCTGCTCTCTTCTCTCTGTTATCCTGACTATTTTTATAACCACCTCTTTTCACATCAGAAGGGAAAGGCACAGCCAGTGGTGCATACCTCTCAGGAGGCAAACAAATGGGCAATTGGAAATAATGGTGTCTCTGGATAATATCATTTTGCCAGGCAATTTTAATGTCCAACTTTCAGCAAAACTGAAGAATCCGCCCAATTAGCTCATGAAGCATCTCAGCCCTTTCAATGGGGGATGACTCTGAGATATTTGGCACCCGAGTCAGAAGCAGCTCAAAGAGCTGAAACACGATATGAGGGTATCTTTTACTTTTGCAATCATTTCTTTTAGTGTTTACATCTACGACAAATTAAAAATGGAAGTAAAATTGAGGACTTTCACTCCAACACCCGTAGATATATTATTTAATGCAAACAAGGAAAGCAACATTAATCTTATTAAGGACCATATTGCTAATAGTATTTTACTGTTTATTTACATTTTGATACATTTTATATTGTTTCTAAAAATAATTGTCAGAATCCCATCTAGAATAAATTATACAGACTTGTGATCGTTACTAAAACTGAAATTTTTTAAATTTTGCTTTCACAGTTTGAAGGGGAGAGCAAAAATGATGCTGATCTGCATGGTAGTACCTGATTTTATTATGTGAATTTCAATTTTGTGATAAGACATCAAGTAAGGAGTTGAGTATGAATTTATTTAGCTTACACTGATGAATTATTTAGGATTATTTAAACAACCTGCTTTTCAATTATCTTTATTACACATTAAGCTTGAAAACTGTCCCTAAGTATAACAGAAGATTCTTTGTTAAACAAGTGCACTTTTCACGTTAAACAGCACATTTGTTCTGATTCTGAAGGTCCAAAGCTAAATTAAACTCTTTTGTGCAGGTTTCTTTCAGATGGGCAAACCAGCCTGACTGAAGATGGGAGGGAGGTCGTGTCTCCCCCTACTGGTCAGTGATTGTACTATTAGTTGTCCAAAACCAAAATACCACAGCGAAAATGACAGTAATCAAGATGCTACTGTTACTTTCTATTGTCCATTAATCTTGACAAGTTAAAACTCATAGAGAAGACATATCGCCTTGAAATAGATACACTATGAACAGGACTGAGAAGAGTAGAAAGGAGATCTAGACAGGCCAGCAGATAATAATCTGTGCAATTGTTTTGTATTTACAGATGAGCATAAATATTATTATAAAGTAAAAATAAAGAAATAGATACACTGAAATAAATGGGTTAGTACATTGTCAAAATTCCATGACACTATTTTTCTACTACAAAATACTATCGAAGTGGGAGGAAGGGAGGACTCTGCCTAATAGTTTGTCCAGTTATCTCACTCATAATTTTTACAGAAAGATACATTTAGAAGTTTGATTTTATTTATCAGGCACTTGATTTTGATATTTACAAATAAAGTAATATTCCTTAATGTGTGCTTAAAATTGATGACATTGTTTGTTAATTTAGAGAGAGAATATCACTTTTAATTATGCTTATACTTGTGCTTATGAAATAAAGAGACCAATTCTTAATGGGTGTCTTTGTGGTATCTTGTATTTTCTTTGTAAAGTGGTCTATTTTTCAGAGTGACTTTGTTCTTTTTCTTTTTTTGGCAAGCCTAAAGATAAGAATATGTATCTATCATATGTCTGTTGAAATGGTATTATAAATACCAAATACTACCTTTATTTTTCATAGGATGTCACAGTCTACAGATGCTCTCTTATGATTTGTATTATTATCTACATTTCCATTTTTGAAGGTGTCTGGCATATCCTGCACTCTACTAAGATCTCAGTAGGATTAGCTGGTCCATGAACTCGTGCCAGGAGAAGTCCAGAGTCCTCCCCACTGGGCTTGGGTTCTCAAAATCATTTCCATCTTGAGATCCTACCTTGGTGCAATACAGCTGTGCTGTTAAATATGCTGCCTGGGCCTGAAACTCAGCTTCATTGTCAACTTCCCAAAAAAGTACCCATTCGATCTTAACATGTGTTAGTGTTGCTGA